ACATCACGATTTAATCAACCAATCAACAGATTTTTAACCATGCTCAGTAACGTTAGGACGTTTCATATAGCATCCCATACCGTACAGTCGTGCTGCATATAATCTCTATATCTCGAAAGCATAAAGAGGTTCCACCAGCAAGCAGTTAATACAATAGATCTCGAGCAAAAGGATATCACTGGTAAAGATAAAAAAAGTTATTAACAAAAATTAATGTATGATTTCACCAAAAATCATTTAATAAACATCTTGTTTATAAACAATTCGTAAACAAGTTTATGTTGCAATCAATTTATAAACAAGTTAATGTTATAAAGTTACAACCGTTTGGGAGAGTAACTCACAGTTTAGTTCCGATTGTAACCCTAGATTGAATTTTATGGAGTCTGTTCTTCAATCGGGTAAGAAACACTTATAGTTGGAGATTAATGAGAGGCCTATCGTATCACTGCGCCAATCAATTTTACATGCCTTTATTTATTATGGCAATTAGGTTTTTTTAATACAGTTTTAGGTCTTTGTAAATGTGGTCCTTTGGAGACTTTAAATTTCAGCGTCCGCAAATAACTAGTAACAATAAACAGTTTGTGTAAAATACTAAATTTTGTGTTAAAGGTGAAATGGTTCTGGGAAAGTATTTGGTCGAAATATGAATAAATATTATACTAAAACTGCCTAAAACTTGGTCTGAGTATAGATGAATGCTGAAATTCAAAAAGGAAATTAAAACAATAAATTAATTTCCTTTTTTAATTTCGGCACCACCTATAGGTCTGAATAATTAGGTTATTTAGAGCTTCAGATTATATCACGAGCTCTATAACATGCACGCACTAGCCTTATAATATTTATATTAGTCACCAGATCTATAAATTAATATCGATTTGAATCAATTATATCAAAATCACAAACTCTAATCGAATCTGCCGAAAATCGACACATTTTTATCAAGCGTCCCAGGATTTATACTATAATTATCTAGCTTTATTAAAAAAGATTTATTATTAGATTATTTTATAGAATTGAATGTTACTGTATATTACAAAAAAAAATAAAAACAAGCAATATAGACTATTTAGATGTTAAATATTTTTAACTTTTAGCAATATTTAACTTTCTATAAAATTTGATTTTCTGTATCATTTGCGATTTTGGTAGGACTTTTAGTTTTCGGCAAGGCTTTCAATGGGTTTTTGGATTTCACCGAAAATATTTTGGCATGCCAAAGTCAACAAAAATCATTAGACCATTGGACATGATTTCACTGATAATATTCAAATTAATTCAATAAAAAATTAAATGAATAAATAATTTATAATATCAATTTATCGAATGCCCTCCTGTAAAATTTCTAGTTGTCAAATATACATATAATATTTAAATTTTATTCGATTATTTAATTTCTGTTATAAACTCAAATTATTTATTCAAGATTTAGCCAGTAAGCACAGATGAAGCTTGGAATATTTAGAACATCAACCGATAAAACATAAAATAAATAGGAACTTGAGCATATCGAGCAGAATCTTATTGAACGAATAAATGCATATAGTTAGAATAAAAACAAATATGTAAAAAAAAATCTAGGCTAAACTGAGTTTAAAATTATCAAGCGACAAAATTAGAACAAACCATTATAGGTTTAGATAAAAGTAATAAATCTTAATTCGGAAAAACTTGGATTAGAATATCGGTTATTATTATATTTATTTGCTTTATGTTTTTAATTAACCATCCTACTAAAAAATTGTTCGCATTTTGTGATCAATTGGATTTTTTATGGTATACAAGTAAGATAGAAACTTTTTATACTGTGATATTCACTGCAGGATGATAAATGACCTGGTCATTTGTTCAATATTTAAATGACCACGAGTCGTCAAATAATGACCAGGCCATTTTTGGGTCATTAAGGTCATTTGATTATTTTCATATAACTTTTATTGGTTGAGCTACTCATATAAAAGTTATCGAACTTTATTACTTTGCTAATCAATAATCGTAGCTTTATATTAAAATTAAAGTTTTACTGATCAATTAATGCTTATGTCTTAAGTAAAGTTGTTTGGAATAGTAAGATATAAATCTTAATTGATTTAGTAAAAATTTTGATTTTTATATATAGCTACGATTATTGATTATAGTTTTAAAATTTAATTTTGTTTGGCGGTCAATTCTTATCATGATCATAAATTTATTTCTGTACGTTATTTTTTTCATGTGATACGTTTATTCAAATTAAAACTCAGCCGACAACTCCCTGCCATTATTGGGCAAATTTGCGAATACGGTAATTTGACAAATGATTGGCAGCACGTTCTGCTTTGCGGCACGTGTTCATTTGCCAAATTATCGTTATTCCCCCAATAATGTATACTTAAATGACCTTCTAAGGTCATTTGGTCCTTGAAATGATAAACAACTAATAATTTGTCATTTGGGTCATTTGAGTTAT